GTTTGTTTGTTTGTTTGTTTCTCTATTTACATCATATTTATGCACATCTTCACTGCCACTACTTGGTACTTGTACTTATCTCTATTGCTTAGGAGACTTTTAAGTAAAAATGTCGATCGAGGAGACATGCACGTGTGAATTTCACTGTATTTTAGTACATGCTGTGCTTAATACAGAATGCCAGTTACCACGTACACAGTCACACACGGAAGCACACATGGAAATACATATATGCACTCACCAAGGACTGATAAAGTGCTGTTGCTTTTCATATAGGATGCTGTGCAACCTTCTAATATTATAATATATTCAACTGTGATCAAACATTTAATTCCTGCTGCTATTTGCTTTTGGTTGATACTAGGTCCTTTGCTGCTACTAGGCATCTGAAGATGTCCATTTTGTATATATACAATGTCATATAGTTGGTGTGTGTGTGTGTGTGTGTGTGTGTGTATACACATATATATTGTATTGTATAATTTTTCTTTATTGTTATATTGTATAGTCTCTTACTTCTTTTTTATTACTCCTCTGTCCCAATAAAGGTTATCTTATCTTATCTTATCTTATCTTATCTTATCTTATCTTATCTTATCTTATCTTGATATACATGATCTTGCTATGCTAACAAATCATGAATCTGAATCTGGCTGGCATTAAGATGGTTGTCATTTGTAGCATAAAAGATGAGCACACTGGAATGTTCCATGGGGGCTGTGTTTCTGTTGCAGTTTTGTTAATGTAAATTTTGCAACCTATACAAGGAGTATTCAAGGCCTGCCACGGCTGGCCGGCAGTCATTAAGACAGGGGTGTCAAGTCCAGGAAGGGACTAAAGGACACATTATGGTGAGGATGTACTCAGTGTCACACCTGGAGCTGTCACTCTGTAATCGATGTCTTGTGTGTTAACTGCCTGCCGACGTTAATATTCCATACTTCTACAGCTAGCTGTGGATTTACCTACTAATTGTTTCATTTGAGATTTTTTTGTTATTTGAATTCTGACTGCTATTTGTAATCTGTAAGTTGGTGTTTGCATGGGTGTCGCCGCCATTAAATCTGAGGGGGACGTGTCCCTCTCACATTTCATAATTATTAGTTTGGACCCCCCCCCCACATTTAACATACAATATTAGTTATATGCCAGTGTGTCCGCCCCCCCACATTCAAAACGCCCCTGGGTGTTTGCAACTGCTGCTTTGATCCAAAACATGCCATTAAATTAAGAGTTTAATGTAAAACAATCATTATGCTATATACCACACTGTTATGGAAATGGGATTTTTGGGGTTCTTTTATAGCGCCTTCCCTTTTATGAAGTCGTACTTTACAAGGACATGAATGTCAGTAATCTGTATAATCTGGGACAATTTAATTGATTATTGTGCAAGGGTGGTGTGTGGCCTCTGTGTCTGTGATTGTAAGGTCATCACTTCAAGTCCAGCAGAACAGTCACATGGCCACGGGCCGCTGAGCAAGGCCCTTAACTCCCAGCCCCTGCGCTGTGTCCATCCGCTACGGTTGGTCTTACCTGTCTGTGTGTCACATAGAGAGCAAGGTAGGATAGATGAAAAAAGAATTCGTATAAAAGCTGCTACCATCCTTGCACATTTTCCTACAACTGCATTGTGCCACGGTATTGAGAAAGCTGTGCAAATTTGTTAGCCAAGCTATTATGAGACGCAAGATAGATTTACCTGTACAGTCATTAACAACTTAGGGGATTGCAAATTAATGCTTGAAATTGCTAGGATGGCTGGCAGAGAAAATTACAAAATTAAGAAGCATGCGGCAGAATCGAGAGCCCTTAGGAAAAGGTCAGATAAGGGGAAAATGAAAATTGTTTCACTAGTTAAGCTCTTCCTCATTATGCAAGTGCTATCAAAAAAAGTTTTTAGAAATACTTGATGATTCTGGTGCCACCAATAAATCTGGTACCACCAATAAATCAAGACCAACAAGATGTGTAAAGCTAGATTTTCGACCTCTGTTGACAGGCAGACACAAAGTGAAGTGCTCAGGCTGAGAAACCAGCAAGGAGGTGGTGCTGTGATGATTTGGACTGGAATAATTGGTGGTGAACTGATCAGTCATTGACAAGTTCCTGAAGGTGCAAATTTGACTGCAGACGTTTATATTAAATTTCTCAAAAACAACTTTGTGCCATGGTACAGAAGTAGAAAAATTATAAACATGCATGACAATGTTCCATCACATGCTGCCAGGATGACAGAAGAGCATTTGATAAAACTGGGCTTCAAAAATGGAACCAGCATCTTTGCCTGATTTCAATCAAATTGAAAACCCATGGCAGCCGATGAAGCAACATATTTATGCCTCTGGACATCAGTTTTCTTCAAAGGATGTTACTGTAGGGTGTTATTTCAACATCAGCAAGATATATTATACCTGCAGAAATTCAGTATGACAAGTCAGTGGAAGAAAGATTAATCTTGGTCATGTCTTCTCATTACTAAATAAACTCTTTATCTTGGGTAATTGCTTTGGAGAATAATTACAAGACCTATTCTATTTATTCTAAATAAACATAAGTAAGTAAATAAATAAATTAATTCCTGCATTCCTGCTACAATGACCTTCATAAACCTATTGCTTTTATTGGTATTATATAGGTTCACAATGAAAAAAAATACTATATTTTGTTAAATCATAAATATCGCATAGCATGTGACATGATTTTGAGCACCTATTTGTAGATAAATTATGCAACTTTGGTGCAATTTTCACAAGCATCTAATTATTAAGATATTTGATAATTCATGTCTTGCATTATAGCATGACACAAGGTGTATAACTGGTCTGACCCATTAGACACGGCACTGGTCTGGGATTCTGAGATTGTAAAAAAAAAATGGAGGGGATTGTTTAAAACAGATATAAAAAGGGATGGATAGAAGCATTTGTGCTTCTGACAGTGTGACATTTCACCGGGTGCCGGTCTCCCATCGACTCTTCAGGACGCAATCTGCTGCACCGAGGTGACTACTGTAGGGGATTTGGACTGCTGAATACGATTTTCATTTCCACAATCTTGCCAGTGAGAATAGCTTTGATTAATGACAAAGCTTCATGCATGAAGTCTTGCATGTGTTTCTTTTAGTGCCTTGGGTACAGCAATGCATATTTCTCATGCTATCTGAAATACGGCCATGCATTTCTTGAAATTATCAAGTTTCCAAAGCATATACGAAGAGACTGTAGGTATAGAGTCATGGCTTGTTTCTGTGTTGATATTTGGCTTGAGTGGTACCACGAACACTCTGCGATCTCTGCCCCAGTTAATTCTGGATGCAAGCCATTGCATTAGTCTGCACATGGTAGAAAAATATTAGGTAATTGTAAGGTGCCTTTACCTTCAATGGGGAAGGCAACCCCAGACACTCACATGGTGCACTTTATGTGACCAAATCCGGCACTTATGCCTTATGTGAAGAACAGAAATGTGTCTGCTGGGGAAGCATTTCTAGCAGCACAGAAACCTGGCCCCAGTGTATCTCATAGTAGAAGAAAACACCAGTGTAGAGTTTTCATACATGTGAACATTCCTGCAGTCGACAGCTAGATGGCAGAAAAGAGCAGATACCCTTAAAAAAATGGAGCAACGTGATTACTGCTATGCACAGATAATATTGAATATGTTGAAGCTGCTAGATTTGCACATCCATATCCAATTAATGCTGCTATGATACATGTTACCTATGCAGAATCAATTCTCCAGTTCCATCAACATTTGCTTTGTTGGAGGTTATCTGTGCACAGAGCCATGGTAGGATAGTATACCATGCCCCTCTACTGAAGGATATTACACTGTAAATCCCTGCCTGCGAGTAGGGCTTGAAAAATTCCTGGCACTACGCAGAAGGTGTTGCACAAGTCTGGCTAGATGATGTGTTGAAACAGGTGCTAACAGATAATGTGCCGGGACGTTTTTGATGTGACAGAGCATTTCAGGGCTCACACCATTTCTTTAATGCCTCTTATCATCCACAAGCAGTTCCCACCCCCACGCTGTACTTTCTTCAGCAGCAGAAATGAGAAGGTTGACTCAGGATTCAGGAAACGATTAAAATAAACAGTCAGTAAACACAGCCTACCAACTTCACGGTCAGTTTTGCACCAAAAGCCTTCATTTATTATGGTGTTCTACAACATGTCATTTGTAACAATCTTCTTAAATAATCAACCTTTCCAACTTTATTGCATGAAGTCTCAGTAATTCACATTTGTAATAGTTTGGCAGAGCCATTCCTGCATATAACATGCTCTAACAACGATAGCGGTGAATACAGGGGAAATAGCAACAATAGGAAGGAACATATCAATTACTCAGATTTTAGTGTTCACTATTCAGTTAAAGTGAATTAAAACATCCTTTTAAATGGAGCAACCATCTCATCAAAGAACAGTCTACATCTTGAATTCTACTTTTAAGGTTCTGAAGCAACATTGTAAGGTTATAGCTCATGTTCGGAGCACAGAATGAGGTTTCGTACACTATAGCTACTAATTGACATAAAGGTGAGCACGATACTTTAAGAAATACAGACAAGTTCATGCAAGAGTAAAAACAGGGTTGATGTATTGCAACATAATCATAATTCACCAATTAAATATAAGTAAAAAACAAATGCACATAATGGCATTTTAAAAGAACATCAAGACATTTTAATTAGAATGTTTAAGCCAAGCAAGACAGGAAATTAAATACATTTTTAAAAATTCTGTACAGTACAAATATGCTTACAGTACTCTCCAAAAAGACCTACCCTTTGACAAAGTGCACTAGTCACATTTCTACCAGCAAATACGCTGTTCCTTAATTAAATGCAATGGTAACCTTTAAAAATACACCGTTCTTTGCTTAGAACTTAGCAAAGTAGCTGTAAGAGAGAGAGCACCTAAACCAAGCTTTATTTTAAACAGAAGTAACAAGGTATGACCCAGAAACAGGTTTGGGACTCTCAGATCCATCAGGCTCCACAAGGTTCTCCTTGGAACCACTTTTCTTTGAGTAAGTTGACACTGGTGTTGGGATTTGTGATGGGCGAACCACAAGGCCATCTGCACCACCTTTCCTTGAGCTTGGCTTGTAATTAAAAGGCGTAACCCTTGCAGACACGGCACCACTGGGTGAACCTTGCTTGGTGGAGCTCGATGACCCAAAAGGAGTCCGATCGACAGCCGGGATTTCTCGAGTTTCAGCTACAGCATTAGGCTGACCTACACACTTAACCGCTCCACCACCTTTCTTTTCTTTCTTAGCTCTTGCAAGTAAATTTAGATTACTCTCAAAACCAAATGCAGAAGCATTTTCTTTCGACTTAGTTGGCTCAGGCTGCACTTCACAATTTTCTGGACTGGCTTCAGGCATGTCGCGAGTCATCCTGTCAGTCACTGGAGGTGTACTGCTTATTGGAGATTTCCCAGACCGTGGATTGTTGATTGGACAGTCTTCAATTCTCACCCATACATCCTCTGTCTTTGAGACAGCTGGTGCCATTGGAGGTGTAGACGGCTTTGAATCATTATCTGAAGAACCCTGGAATTTACTCTTAACCAAAGTAGAAGATTCATGTTCTCTCACTTTCCTCCATGTTCCTTTTAAAGGAGTGGTAACTTCTTTACTTGACTTTTTTCCACGCACTGGACTTAACACCAATCTCTCATCTTCGCTCTTTGCCTTTTCACTCGATTCTGACGAGGCAGAGAGAATGGAAGAGGAGCTCCCTGTTCTTTTCCAAGTGTTCACTCTGGGTAGTGATGTAGAATGTTTGCTGTTCTCATGTTTCCATGTACCAGATCTGTTAACTGGGAGTCTGGAAGGGCTTTCGGACTGGGAGCGGGGACCGTTTTGTTTAACACATCGCCCATCGCCATTCTCGGAATGCTGACTGCGTGGAGATTTCCTCCAGCAACTTCCTTGCCTAGAGGAAGCTACAGAGATATCCTGTAAAGATGGACTGGAAACAGTGTCAGACTGTGATTGATTTGGGGATGTTGTCCTAGAAGAGGGAGACAAAGACTCAAGGGATGCAGACTCTTCCAGCTTTCGCTTAAGTGTTGGACTCGGAGCTTCTTTGATGAATGTGGACTGGCGCACTAGAGCAGGCTTTTCAAATTTATCAGACTCGCTTCCACTGGACTTTGAGGAAGACATCTTTGACAGCTCAGACTTCGATGACCCTGCAGCGTCAGCATGATTTAGACCTTTTGTAACAGACTCACTCTTAGGAATCCCACTACTTCTTGGAATACAACTTTGCTTAGCTGGAATAATTTGGTTCTGTCTACCAGGAGAAGTATACATCATTCTGCCAGTACCTGGTGACTTGGATGAACCTGGAGACAATGCGCGTGGTATTTGAGATAATTTGTTGCCATTCCTGCCAGGTGAAATAGAAGCATGAGTTGATTTTATAGGCCTTACTGATTGCAAGGGTTGCTGAGATGGTCTTGATGGTGTGGAATCTCTGGAGCTGCACTGAGAAGAAGTCTTACTTGATCCTCCTTGAGAACTCTGTTGCTCGCTAGGTGGAATAGGATCTAATTTAAGTGGTTCTTTGACATTCCGTGGCAACTTAGCATTACTCTGCCCCTGTGAGTATGACCCAGCAACACCTTTGGGATGTGTTTTCTGTGGGCCTGGACTCATGCTGGGAGATTGGTTTCTCACACCAGGACTTTGAAATGTTGCCCTGCCACGTGAGACAGCAGGAATAAATGTTTTCTGTTGAGAGGATACACTGTCAGTGTTTGTTCGTGGCTTTCCAGTTATGAGACTTCTGTATACTTTCTTTCCCCCTTTAAGGCTTTTGACCTGTTCTTCCTCCCTTTTTCTTGATTCTACAGTACTGCGTTCCCCAGGTTTCAATATTCTAGGCCCTCTGTTGGAAGAAGGTGGCTTCTCTTCTTGATCCGGTGTTAAATGAAAGGGAGATATTACAGAGATACCAGACTTCAAAGACAACACTGAATCTGTATCAGATGATCCTTGTCTGGAGAGGCTGGCAGCAGCCTGATTGAGGCTACTAACTACAGAGTTGGCTCCTTCTTGAATGGCCTTCCAATCAAAGGAGTCTGAATCTGGCGAAAGAGCTTGCTCTGAAATTGGACTATCTATGTCTCCAAGATCCAATGGTAGATCAGTGTCTTCTAGTAAAATACCAGTCATACATTTACCATCATTTGTCTCATGGTTCTCACCTGCTGCCCTGTGTAGCCTCTTCTTTTTTGGCATAGCAGAACTGATACATTCTTGCAAAAGGTCATCCTCTGAATCAATGCTAAGAGAACTAAGTGAACTATTTCTTGAGAAGCACACTGGGGTATCTTCAACATGAAAAGCCTTTGGGGTATAACCAGATGCTGGTGGTCTGGTTACTTCACCCTGGGGCTCAAGACTTTCTTTCGGATGTGGGGTTTTATTGTTGTTCTCCTGGTCAATGTCACTCAGTGAACTAAGAGATGAGTTTCTAGAGAAACACACAGGAGTGTCTTCAATTGCAAAATTCTGCTTCTCATCTGATACAGGGCAAGAATGATCTTTTGATACCTCCAGAAAAGATTCTGGCTTTACTACAGTCTTTGAAGGGGTCTTTAGGAACATCTGTTTTCTGCCAGTATCTGGTTGGTTGGAAGACCGCTCATGAACGGTTTTTGATTTTGTATTCTCTTTCCCTTTTCGCAGTTCAGATTTTTCTTTTGATGAATCATGATCATCATCTTCAAAGTCTAAAGAGCTTAAGGAATCATTACGTGAGAAGCAATAGGGGGTTCCTTCTATGGGGGTGTAATGATGAGGAGAATCAAAAGCAAGGGCCTGTCGCATTTTCGCATCACTGCTTGGTTTATTAGAAGGCTCCCTCAAAGCCATTTTTGGATCTATTTGTTTAGAACCCTTGATTTTATCAGGATATGACACCTCTTGAGGAAAACTACTTGATGGACCCTGACATTTAGCCAGTTCCCTGTACTCACAACTTTGAGGCATGGGCTTTACAGGGGAAGTGGGCTTTTCTCCTTCCGGTTTTGTTTGACTTCCAGAAAGGGTATGTGGTGTCCGCACATGATCAGTAATTTTCTTTACTTTGAGAGGCTTATAACTTTTACCTTTTGGCATTGCAGAACTTATGCACTCAGCAAGAATGTCATCCCCTTCATCATTTTTATCATCTACTATAGAGTTGCATGTTGGAGTATTTTGGCATGCAACATTTCCTTCAGTGCTCCTCACGTCTGAAACATTTTTCTGAGCTCCACTCACAGAAGTCTCATTACTAGATAACTCGTTAGGCAGAGACTCTACTGTTAGATCACTCAGAGATGTTGCATTTGAAAAATGAATAGGGGTTCCCTCAACACAAAATACTCTAGGTGTATCCTCCCCATTACTGAAGCCAAATGGCCTTTGCTGGCCTCGATTTTGTGGGCCACGCTGTTTATATACAGGAAGCTGACTAGGTTTACAAGTTGCACGTGCAGGTATTCTTGAAGTAGTAGGGGTTGGCTTTTTGGGTTTTCTTGAAGGCTTTGTGGGCATGGCTAAATATATGCAAGCTTTCAATATACCCGTATCATCTTCTTCATCAGAATCAACCGGTGTGTTCTTTTCTGGTTCACTGCACATCTCAGATTTATCTTCATTTATTTGTGCTTCAGTGACGATGCTACTTGGCTCAGGAGTATTTCCATTATTGGCATCATCTTCATGAACTGGCGGCATTATTCTCAGCTCAGCATCTTTCTGGATGAAGGGTTCATCAAAGCTCAATGCACTCAAACTTGAAGCACATGAAAAGCCTTCAGGAGTATTTTCCGTAGCAAAATGCAACAGCGTGTCATTGTCTGGAAGGACTTGGGCCTTGTGGATCTCTGATATTACAACTGCATGCCTCTGGTCTAAATCCCTTTTCTCTGCATGGGGAGGTACTCTTGCCCTATGTTTTGCCTGGGGAGGTGGAGTTTTACTGCGGCTTGGGGGCATTGTTTGTCCTGGACTGTCTGGTAGATCACTTGGACTAATGATACCACTAATGATGCCACTGCATGGTTCACTCTGCACAGAGCTTGCAATAGAGTGGCTTTCAAAGCTCTCAAGGGAGCTGACAGAGGTGCACCTGCTGAACATGAGTGGGGTCTCCTGCACATAATGCTCTGGAGGGCTTTTTGGGGTTTGAACACCACTTTTGGATGGGAATTTAGTTCTAGAGGCAATATCATTAGCCTTTTGCCCTGATGCATCATCCAGATTGGAACCTTGATTCCTTCGAGATTTCACACGAACAAACTGTGAACTTGACTTATTCTCAGAGGTAGACTGGTCTGGATGCAAAATGCCACTTGCCTCCTTGTCAGTAATAGGCAAAGTGGGATAAAGGCTTGCAGCTCTTGAGCTGGTCTCCCTGTCTTCAATTTCATCCTCAGCAGAAGACAGAGATGACAAAGAACTGCCTCGTGAAAAACAAATTGGTGTGTCCTCAACACAATAAGTCTGTAATGTCTCTGTAGTAATAGAGGACACCTTACTTGTAGAGCTTCTTTGATTTACCTTATTTGGCACAGATTGCAGCTGAGCAGATGAGTTCTGTTGCTTTTGCCGACACAAATTTTTCAGTGACGTTAAAGTGGATGCCTTTTTGCCTTGGGTCATATGATCCTTTACGGTGCTCTGAAGAGCTGATTTAGACTGCCCAAACATTAGCTTTTGGGTGGAGGGGGTATTTTCAGAATATTTTAAGCTATAATCTATTGGTTGATCTTCATGGTGGAGCTCTTCACTATATTTAATACTATAATTCATTGGCTGATCTTCATCAGGTTGCTCTTCTTCAGAATATCGCTCACTGTAATTAGTTGGCTTGTCATCTTCATAATCATCTATGACACACACCGTCTGATTGATAGTGTTGTTAATCCCTTGACTGGAAGTGCCCCGACTTTGCTCTGAACTGTTAGAGCTTCTCGGCCTGAAACCTGCAGAGCATTCTGACTGCACAAATCTTTGATATTTAATGTGTTTTTCTTCATTGTCGCTACTACTATCTGCGTACAGAGGATAGCCCGGCATTTGAGGTTGTGCAGGTTTCTGATCAGGCCTTTTAGCATCACCATCATAACGTTTAGATCTTAGCCACTTGCTATTTTGGCTGGGGCTTTGCTGGCCAGAATTCAACTGCTCATCAGAGTACTTCAAGCTGTAATTTATTGGTGTGTCCAGCTCTCCATCATTCTCATCCATATGATTGACAGTGTGTATCTTGTGGGCAAGATCGGCGGGATACTTCCGATAGACAGAACACTTGCTTTCTTCAGAGTAAGAGTCGACTGAAGGCTTCATTTGACCTCTTTTACCATAACCGTCACTGCTGCCAACACTGTGCAGACTGTCGCTTGAGGCTCGGTATTCAATCATGGTTGATGGGGCAGTTTTGCTGTACACCTCTGGCTTACTATAACCATACACATTTGAATGTACTTGTACAGTGGACACATGCATGTCTGGTGTAGTCACAGCACTTCTAGTATCTTGGTTTTTCTGTATGCCTTGCACTTCCTCCATAACCTTGGCAATCTGTGCAGCTGTCAAAGACATTTGCAGCCTCTGGGAAGGTTTATCTGCAGGATGAAAGGGGTCTGGTCCACCTCTCCTCTCCTTATCGAGGCTTCGATCTCTCTCAGCCTTAGAGCTTTCTACAACTTCTCTGGAAGCAGAGCTGGACAGGGCTGAAGCGTTAGTAAAGATGGTAGTCACATTGCCGGGACCAAAGGCCTCAGAGCGGCAAACCCCATCACTGTTGTGGCACCTGGGTTTTCGTCGGTGCAAAGCTTTTGGGCTCAAATTGTCAATATTATCAAAGGTTTCAGAGAGCTGTTGTGCATCAAGTTCCTCAATTAAAGCTTTCTGCTTCCTGAAGTGCAGAGAGGGTAAATTGGATCCCGGGGACATGATGTTAGCATCCTTGTACCTAGCAGGCCTATTGGCCATCAGGTTCCTTAAAGCTGCAGCACTGCCCATGGCAATCATTTTGTGCTTGGAATGGATAAGGTTCTTCAACATGCTCACTGCCCCCAAGTCCCACAAGGCTTCTTGGTCCTTGGCATTTCTTGCAGATAGGTTCCAGAGGGTTCCACAAGCATTGCTGACTATCGTTAAGCTGTGGGACTTGAGATGTTGAAGGAGGGTCTGGAGACAATTATTCTCCCTCAGTATCTGCCTATATGTGTGGGAGGAAACACATCACCCTTCATTATCAACCAAATCTTATATTTCGGGACTGAAAGAATCCATTTCATTATGCAAATTTAGGGGGGGGAAAAAAAAAAGTTAAAAAATCTGAATGCAACTTACCTGTGGTCTTCATTTGTAGCTATGAGACTAGACACGTTTCTCAGAATTCCGCCCCCACTTTCGATAATGGCCAGAGTATTCGTTTGACTTCTGAAGGTCAGCGTGCTAACCAAAAACGCCAGCGACGTGTCCACCTCACATATTTCAGCTTTATTCTCAGTGCAGTGAGCAGACAGGTTCCATAAGGCGCTCAGGACACTCTTTAGCGTTGATTCCTTTAGCAAAATGTAAATTTCATTAGTACACACAATGTCATAAACCTAAAATGAGCACAGGAATGCAATACAAGAACACAGGCATCAGTCCCAAGCTGCCTCAGTGTATTTGGCGCACTGTACCTTTTTGACAACAAGGGCACATTCCATGAGGGCTTTCACACTGCCCACTTCTCTGAGCGTCTGCTTACTGTTCACGTCGGCACGCCACGACAAGTTACGAAGCACGCTGGCGATCACCTAAAAATAGAGCATGAAACACGGGGAAGATCAAAAAAGCGCTAAAACAGTCAAATGGGGCTGCTTGATGTAGTCCATATGCAATTCGCATCAGTCAGCTACGCCTTCCAAACCAGCTGAATGAGAATCACGACTGTTCACGTACAGCCTATGTAACGCAGTTTAGCGCCTATCAGCATTAGTCATTAGTTCGACTAAACAGAAAATTACTTCAATGTCCTGAAATGTTTTTTGTTGTTGAAATAATTAAGGGGTCTCTTCCATTCAGAGCCAGTTGATCCCTCCATACCTGCTGCAAATCCTCACTGTCAGACTTCAGCTGGGCCACCATAGCTGCCATGCAGCCTTTCATGGAACACAGAGTGGCCTGGAGACAAACCAGACAAGCTATGAGTGCCAGGCCCATCCCGACAGCTACAGGGACTAGAACGAGTGCAGGACGCCCACCTTGTTGGCGACGTCTCCGAAGGTCAGGTTCGTCAGGGCCATGCCAGCGTACCGCCTCAGAGTGATGTTATAGTGGTCGGTGCAAAGGCCATATATTTCACAGTCCACTTGCAGAAGCTCTCCAATAGCAGAGAGTCCCCCTAGAGACAGCAACATGTTACTATGGGCTAAATGGTTAAGTGGCGGTTTCCCCTGCTATCTAACTTCTAGATACATCGATTGTTATTTTCCAGACTAAATTTCCTATGATTAATCAGCAAGAATCAAAATCAGTAAAAACCTACAATTAAACAAAAAACAAAACAAACCAAACAAAAATTAAAATCAAAACAGACGCAAGAGGCAGAACAGTAAAATTAATCAACCTGATGACCCTGCATGCTAAATAAAACGAACACAACCTGAGCAATCTTTACTGACTTGCCGACCACAGTCTACTTGGCAAAGCTGTGGTACACCGTGGTGCAGAGAGAAAAGCAGCGCAGAGTTCACCTAGCTCATTCATGGCGTGTCGGTGCTCCTCGTCGAAAGACAGCTTCATGAGAACACACACGGCAGGACAGATCTGGTGCTCCACCGGAGAGGGCACTAGGTGGGGAGGGAACCACAGCTGGGTTACTGAAACACCAAGAGGCATAAACGACGGATGCTGCTGGAGATGGAGATAGCCCTACTGGGGATTTTGTCGCGGTCCATTCCCTGGTCGTGGGCTTCCTGCCATGCCCAGCAGGTCTCGCAGTAGGCCCGGATCTGCTCCAGGAGATGCAGCACGCGGATCTCCCGGCGGCCGCGCTTGTCGTCGGGCTGCGAGTGGATGATGTTGTGCAGGGCGGCGCTGGCCCGGGCGCGCGCCTCCTTGCTGCCACGCGAGTTTCCCAGCAGCACAGAGTCCTTGTCGTTGCCATGGAGCAGCTGGATGAGCAGCGGCAGGCAGCCCGACTGGCGCATGGCGATGCAGCTGTCCTGAGAGCTGGACATGGCCAGCAAGGTGCGCGACATGTCGTCTTTGTCGTGGGTGCCCAGCATGGACAGGAGAGAGTACACCATTTCCACCTGCGAACAAGGGCGACTAACTTCAAATTCGGAGTTTTCATACACACTCCTGTGGGCTGACAAGGGAAACTACAAATGTGGGAAAACGGCACCATGAGAAAATGTAACACAACCATAGCAGATCTTAAGTCTTAAATTCTAACACACCTTGAATGTTACTCCTTTAAACTTCTAACAAAGGAAGCGAGCAAGCTTTGGAAAGGGTGTGTCTGAAATGCTAATGAGGGACTGACTCAGAGACCAGACATCACCCAACGCTACATCAGCCCTTCCGAATCATTGTACTCTAGCTAACCCCTTCCCTGCACAAGCGAATAGACGAGGAACAAAGGCACTGCATGGCGGCTCCAGAGCCGTTACCCACGCTGCACTGCTCTCAGGTTCCTCGGTTACCTTGGTTCCCAGGTGACTTGTCAGTCTGCGTGGGACAGAGTAGCTGCAAGCGAAGCTCACATCAGTGGAGGCCTCGTGGTCCATTTTAGCAGCTGAAGCCTAGAGGGATCAAGTCAGACTAAGCGTTCAGATAAACAGCAATGATTAAACGGACAACGATACATTTGGCTAAACCATTTTAGTGACTAACAGTATCATGTCAATTTGTCGAACTCACACAGCAGAAAGGTAATATATAATTTAGGAGAGATTAACTTCTCAGAATTTTCTCTAGTAAGAGAGCTCATAAACATTAGAGACACATTATAGCAGGTAAATTGATATTTTATCTACCATCAAATATATTGGTCAAGTTGTAAAATATATTAAAATTATCCTAGCACCAAAAGTAATCAACCCAAACATGGGAGGTACATACTTGAAAATTTTAGGAGACAGATATTTATAAATCAAGACAAGCTGAAGCAATTAAAGCAATCACCCTGTACTGGTGCAGCTATCTACAATGAGAGTGTCTGGGTATATTTAGGGAAATTCATCTTTCATTATAAATCTTTGTATGCGCATTTGTAACTTAAATGGGTATCAGGTCACCCTTGTGTCCATCCTTTCTTCCAAACACTGCTCCCCACCTGCCACGGGCTGTCAGTGTCTCACATGGCCAGGAAGGGAAATTGGGTGTCACCGTAATAATGCTCCCACAACCTTAGTGGTCTCACCTGTCCGCACCCCGCAGCTGCGGTCCCGAGGTCGCTGCCAGGCGGCTGGCTCCTCTCGCCGGGTCTGTCACAGTCACGCACAGCCGGCTCACGTCTGCTCTTCTGAAACAGCACAAAGGGAGGTGACCAGATAGACCTACCTGAACCGGCTGCTGACCAGCACAATAATAGCAGAGGAAGGAAGCATGCAGACATTTTACAGCATGGGGCACTCGGGAGAAAAACGAGGGGGTTCCTGAACTAGTTCAGCATGAAACAAACTGAATGCGAGATGCAGCAGACAGGTCACATGGTCTATGCTAGTAACTATCCACCTGTCGTGTCATAATTTTACACTTTGTTACAGTGAATCATTTCTCATTATTGAAGGTTATTAGATAAGGTTACAGAAAAGCAAATCAGCTACACCAGTATTTCCAAATCCAGTCCTCCGGGACCCCTATACGGTCCACATTTTCGCTCACTCTCAGCTCCCGGTACGGAGCAAAAATGTGTACTGTTTGGCAGGCAGCTGGGAGGGAGCAAAAACATGGACTGCCGAGGGGTCCCCCAAGGACCGGATTTGAAAGCACTGGTGTAGCCGAGTTGCTATTCTATAACCTTTAATAACCTTAAATAATGAAATAATAATTATAATAATACATTTTATTTATAGGTGCCTTTCCAGACACTCAAGGACACCGTACAGTGAATGCAAAAGAACAATATAAATAATAAAGCCATAATAAGACATGTTTCACTGTAACAATGTGACTGTCTGAGGCTACCCGAGGACTGGAAAGAGAAAAACAGGGCTACACTATGCTGGGAGGGAAGTCGGACAGGTTATCACTGCAAACACAGCCCTCATCTCTGACCACAACCACACAACACTGTTCACCCTTTTGTCACATGGTATAACATGGTGATAGGTGCCTCAAGGACATTACAAACACACGAAATCGGTACATATAAACACTTGTTTTAACACAGAATCTATTATCTACTGGCCTTACTGGGAACACTGGTTGACCAGGTGCTGCTCACCTCCAAGTCTGCGGACTCAGACTGCCGGATCCTCGCCAGGTCTCTCTCAATCTGCTGAATGCGAGCCAGCCGTGCCTGAAAACACGAAACGAACCCTCAGAGCAGACGAACGAACAGTGGGGTCCTCGTGATGGCACATGAAAACAATCGACACACTAAACTCTGAGAAAACTTCAGGCAAAACGTGTAGAAAACTCCACACAGAGGCTGAATCATTTATGCATAAACGAATCAGCTTTCATTTTGAGAAAATTATAGGTTTCTCACAGCATTCATTCATTTTTCGGTTTGGCAGGATTGAGAAGATTATCTAGGCAGGGATACACATGGGATTGGGTGCCAGATGTACGGCAAAGCACACACAAATGTCAATGACAAACAGAAAAAAACAAACAAACATCGGGTCTACTTGACCCAAAAAGTGTCTCAGGCCAGCAGACATGCAAGTATGAAAGCTGGTGCACAGGGGGTTGAGGTAGCTGTGGATAAGGAGCTGTTTGCTTCATTATGACCTAAAGACAAGTTCATCCATATTAGGTGAAATAATTGCAACAAGGTAACCTCAAACAAATTAAGCAGGTGCCCAGTGTCAGATGGAGAACCAACGGTCAAACCATCTTAGAAGACACAGTTTGAGGACATCTACTGAAACCTACAAGGGCAGCTGGGCATTTCATAACATGAAGCACGTTCCCGATTCCACAACATCTCACAATGATTTGGACCTCCATAAATAGAACTCGTGACGTGAACCAACAGGAGCGGAGACGGACCTGCGCCCTTCTCTCCATGTCCTGGCAGGAGCCCAGCTGCTTCTCCATGGCAGCTCGGATCTGCCGAGCCTCATACTCCAGCTGCCTCCTCGACATGTCCGTCTGCAAGGAGAACTGTCAGGCATAGCGGCGTGAGGCAACGTGGACGTCAACGTCGGGGCTAGGAGCCTGTGCCCTCAACTGCAACGCCATCTGCTACCTTCCTGCAATAGCTCCATCTCCACCACCCTGCCTGCTTACTCACCTTCTAGCTGATTATACAGATTATTTACACCCCCCCCCCCAGGATGCTTAGGTGACACTCACTGTCTCGGTCAGGGGAAGCGTGTCGATGCGCTTAGTGAGATTCTGGAGCTGAGTGTAGTACCAGTCCTTCTCCTTCTCTTCATTCTCCAGTTCCGTTATCAGCAAAGTCCTGCCACAGAAAGAAGGGCATATTATGGCCAACCCATCCAAAGGTTCTGCTGATTCTGCACAAATAAATAGGTTGAATCAAAGTTACATGATGCTCGGATGGGAGAGAGGTTTCAAGTGCTTAATCTTCAGACCAACGGGATTGTAGAAAGCACCACAGCCTTCTTAGCTGGCCTAGCAGCCCATAGCAGTCAGCAGAGAGGATGAAGGCGGCAGTACTCCCTTACCTCTCCTTCTCGATTTCCTCCAGGTAGCCGCCATTCCCGCCTTCCCCTTTAGGGGGCCCTCTCCTGGGCGCAGAGCCCGCGGCCACCGGGCTGCTCTCGCCGGAGCCCTCGCGGCTTCCGTAGGAGCGCAGCGACGCCCTGGACCTCAGCTTCACTCCATCGAGATTCATTTCTAAAGGCGAGCGGGAGGACATTTCAGTGTGAGAACGGGAGGCCAGCACCACATGGCAGGTGTAAAGACGACCTTTCTGCAGTCTCTGGAGAACATTTCTGCCATTTCACAACACATGCTACAGTTAGACTGTAGGTACACATCAAACAAACTCATGGGTATTTTATATTTGACCAGGATAGATGCCTGGAGAAACATCACTGGAACCAAAAGACACTTCACAGGCATTAAAAAACAACAAGATCACCAAAAATCCAAGTTATCCCTTGGGCTGGCTGGCTCCTACCTTTCAGTCGCTCCAGCAGGTCGGCTTGTCCGGGCGAGCCCAGGGACTCCTCAATGCTGCCTCGCAGCTGCTTCAACACTTCCTTCAAGAGACAGTGGGGAAGAAGCCATTGGGTGTGGAAGACAGCTTCAGATCTCCTTGTGTTTGCCACAAAGCAGCCCTGAGGGCTTTTAGCCAGTCAGAGACGTGACACCACGGAATCCTGACATTCTGATCTTTTCCTGGGACCTGCCTTAGTCAAGTGGACATCTCACACGCTGTCCTCCTAGACAAAAGAGTTGCACATTCCAACTGCAAAGCCAAGCTGAAGATTCAGTTGGCAGAACCTGCAGTAGCCTTACCCCCGTAAAAAAAAATCTAATTTCTACTTCAAGGTTATTTTAAAGTTGCTTTTGTCGATATCCCCTGTATCACATTAAAAACACACAAACGTGACTAAAAAAAATGCCTCCTGCACATAAAACCTGAAACAAACACATAGGGCAACTGTAGCTAAAGTGACCCAGTTGTTGTGCTCTAACCAATTTAGTCCTTTGATGAACCACACAACCAGCCACGTGACGCGATATCAAACGAGGGTTTGTTTGTGATATCCGCTCCATTTTAAACATCCTGCCAGACATTTTACCACTGCCAAGCTAATCAGAGATTAATTACGAGCTAACTGTAGATACCACACCCAAGCATTGATACATTCTCCATGTGTGATAATGGCTACCAAACTCATTGTTTCGGCAGCTGTTTAAATAATTTTTGATCATTACTACAGAGCACTGTGATCAAACTAAATGAGACCTCTAAGTGGGAAATCAGAGTAAAAAATGAACACTTCATAGCAGCAAGAGACCAAAAACAGACTAACAGTGAAGATTCTCCATCTTAAGAAGAGAGGCCATAACATCAACAGCATTTATTTTAATGCAAACCTCAAATGGACAGAGGATTAACAGAGAGACCATGGGGGCAGGTCCTCTTAAATCCCCTGTGCTTGAGCACTTGGCCACTCGCATCAGACAGCATGATCTTTGAGGGGCCAGGACAGCATTTAAAGAACACAGCGTTACCCTCCTTGAGCACAAAATGCCACCCCACTTAAATAGCAGGCTTGTATTTTGAAGAACCTCCAAACCGCTCCACAATTATCAAGACATTAAGCACAATACTTTCAATCAATAAGCTGAATATATGACTTGCTCAGCAGAAACGGCTTTGAGTCTCTTCCCTACCTGCCATAACCGGGTTGTGTTTCAGCTCCCATTTTTTTGCACCGATGAGTCATTGAAGTCCGCTTCAGTCGATCGCCGACTCTTGCAGACAGCCCTCTTACTAGGAGCTCACGGGCCTGGTTCTGGCTCACCTGGTCACGCACTACAGATTAAGTGGAACAATCCTGCCAAACACCATGTGCCCTGGATTCATCTCAGTCTTCCCTGCTCTTCCTTCCATGCATTGTTCTCTCTTACTGTCGAATCCACAACATTAAGTTCTCATCCCCTCTGGCTGAAAAACAACGAGTCACCCTAAGCTCCTCCCCCATCCTGAAATACTGTAGATGTTCCAACCTTCCATGTTTTATTCGTATTAATACGGCATTGCTTTCCTGCATCTCATGTACAACCAAAACACAATCACCTTCCAAAATTCTGCTAAAAATCAAGCCAAATCTGGCAAGTCACTCTCCACTTTAAATTTAGAAGAAGATTTCAGACCATAGAACATGCGAATTTACAAGTCTTAAGAGAAGTGAAATATTTTGTAAACTGTACTAACCACTGACATTAAACATAAATTATTCTAAAGGTTCTGTACCCATCCCATCCAGGGTGTAACTAAGCCTTGTGCCCAGTGCTGTGTGGGATAGGCTCCAGCCCCCCGCCCCCCCCAAACCCAGACCAGGATAAGCAATTCAAAGATGGATGAATGGGTGAGATGATGGGATGGATGGATGGATGGATATATGCTGCATAGCTATTAAAAAACGCTGAACTAATTTGACAAACCGAAAAAAGGCATCACTTTAAATAATGTAACATACAAAGTAATTCACGAAAAAGTGATATGCTGCAATCATACTAGTATTTATTATACTAATGCAAAAGGTCCTGTGACGGAGACTTTGGTATTTAATAGAACAGAACCTAAACTGCACTTCCCCATTGGCTCAAACCTTCATACGTAACAAAAACGCTTCCAGGTTTACAGATTTCACTATACTACAGGCGTTCAAAACCTCAACAAATGAGCCACGGTGTGGTGTAACACGGTGACTCGCATCCCAACGGCAAAGAAAGGACTCCTTATTCTCAGCTCCGGAGAGCGATGTGTCTCACTGGCTGTCTCCTGCAGGTGCACTAAAGGTCTGGGCTCTGCAGAGAGGCAGGGTAGGTGGTCCCAGGTACCCACACAGACACACCTTCGAAAGATGTTTACGTTTGATGGCCACAACACACACGCACATTTTTAGTTTGACTGTCAAAGATTTTTTATCAAATTGAGTTACCGCTTTTGACTGAAAAAATGTCCCCACAAGGTCAAAATGACAGGTTTTTAATCAGTTTGTTGGGACATTTGTACATATACACATGACCCACAGACACACATACACCTTAATGAAGTACCAGATATTGCAAGAATATTGTTCTATTATCATTATTAAAAGGCCAGTTTCTATAGACAAAAAAATAAGCAATTCCTCAGATTTGATCCTGTAACTAGATTTGAACCATTCGGTTAGGTTTAAGAATCCAGTATACTTGACTGCTTCTGAACTAGATGTCCAAATCAGTGTCCACATCATATTATTTATCAATTCAATATTATAGATCTGTACTTACAGCCTTTAACCTTATAAGGAATATCTGTAATACTAAACTCTGGGGTAACACAAATGAAACACAAAGATTAATAACCACCAAACAAACTGAAATCTATTCCACCAAAAGAAGCTGGGAATAGCTGTTTGATGGTCTCTGAAGGGACGGAACACTGCATCCAAATGTGGAACAATCGCCATTGTTACAGCTACTTAACAGAAGTGAAATCACAAAAGTTCCCAAAAGGAAGCAACAGCACAGGAAGAAACACAGTGCACTTCCAGGCGCTCCAGATTGACAGAGGGAACAGACCATACCAGCCCACAAAACCTCCAAGACCGAATAACCATGATAGAATAACTTACCGTGAGGGAGAGGCATTTATATGCAAACGAGGAGCCGGTGTTCGGACAAGCAGTTCGACCCGTCAACATCAACCACGGCCAAGCACGGCACCGTGGGTACAGATTCCACGAACTCGCCCTGCATGCTAAGCTCCTGCCTCATCTTGCGTCGGAAGGAAGAGGAGACTGCAGCTGGTTCCTCTCCAGAGGATGCCGGCCAGCTGCCCATTCCTGCCCCCCCAAACCCCCCCAGCACTGGCTGGGTGTCTGGAAGTCACGCCTTCCTTAGGATGGGCTGAACACAAAGGTCTCCTTTGACTCAGTCTCCTCGTGTCATTGCACAAGTACAAATAATGTTAATTTCTGCCTCCTCTGGGCACACTGAGGTCATTGTTACGGATTATCACATCTGACATAAAGACTTATCTGTCAGAATGTAGGAGCGGCACAGCGGAGATCACACCTCGGATAATTAAATTAAAACCAGGACATTAGCCTCAGCTCTTTATTTTCCAGTCTCGACAGCAAATGGGAGCTTATGGTAATGATCTCAGGTTAACCTTGGGTATAAAGCACCTGCATGTAGGACCTGCAAATACCATGAAGTTCTAGAGGTCCCCCTACATGCAGCTGCTTCAGGGATTCCCTGTCGGACAGACACACGTCCGCTAGCCTGGGTCGGCCAGGTTCAGTCTGCCCTGAGCACCACATCCAACAGACCAAAGTTCCTAATAAGGAGGAGCAGGTCAACACAACCAGGGCTCCTCCCAGAGGAGAAGAGGAGCAGTGCTGTGGTTCTGGTACGAGGAACTTCATGTGCATTGCATGAGAATGACTGGAGCCACATTATCTTTATGAATTTACATTAGGGGTGAATGTCAATCATTATCTGGCAGACAGAGCATCGAGAACCGTGAACAGGAAACCGTTTCATTTAGCACAGCAGCAGGAAGGAGGCCTAACATGACATCACCAGGCATCTCCCATTAAAGGCCATGTGGTCCGGATCCACAGGAAGACACAGTGCAGGAGATGGTCCTTAGGAACTGCCTTTATCATCACAGGCAGAAGCCTGCACTGCTTTACAGAGTCCTTCTCTCACTCCACTGTGAAGCTAAGCCTATTTCCATATTCAATGATGCTTTGAATAAGGGTTGTTTCATTTAGTCTGCCAGATTTACCTATCTGACATTTTATGTGCGAGCAATTTCCTTAAACACAGTGAGACATTCATCAGAGAGGAACCAAAATACAAAACCCATCAAGGAACCATTGAGGACCACCAAACACTGCTGAAGGTCTGACTGAGACCGAACTGCTGCTCGACCCTAGAAAGCAGTGAATTTTCCCTCCTTAGGGCATTAGTGCATTAGGGTCCAACAGTAGTGCCTTCTCCTAGCAGAGGACAGGCTTTAGGCGAATCCAGATCCTCAGCTGCCCACCTTCATGTTCAGAGCCTCTGTTTCTAGCTTGGTCAGGTGATTGGAGTTGTCTTGTAGCTCCTGGCGCAAGTTGCAGTTCTCCATCTTCAGTGCTTCCACCTGTCTCAGCAGTTGATCGTAAGACGCAGTGGCCATCTTGGACTACTTCCTGACCTGCTCGGGAGACAAAAGCATGCATGAAGCATTTGTTGTTTTATTATTTTACTTCCACATTTAGCCAACCGACATGATACGCCTATGAAAATATGTAAGCAGTGTACCGAGACGTGGAAGGGAACCATCCCTGGTTGCAGTATGAAAGGAAAACAAACTGCAATCCTGTTATGGTCTTTGATGTAGGACAAATCCAGTGTTGAAAAAAGCACAGAAGAATTTTTTTATTAAAAAAGAAAGTCACTCAACCACAATGAGAGCCTACAGAACCCACAGAAAAAATAGGGTTTGCTACTGATTTTGCTACTGGTTTTGAACAACTCATTTATCAGGTTCTCAGTTAAAGTGGCAGAAGTGCATATTCTGCGTGACAGTGGCTCTCCACAGATACGAGTGCTGCATTCCTCTGATACTGTGCATTACTCAGCGATGCTGCGCTGAAGCTTGCAGGCTCGACGTCGACGGAGGTCCTTGGAGACCAACAAACAGGGCTTCCTGCTAACGGATGCAACTTTACACCCATCACATTCCCGGCTTATTATCAGGCTTTTTGCACAGAGTTTCACAAGGAGAAATGACACGATTTCACAAAGAGTAGCCTCTCCTCACAAGCTCAAACAAGAAAGCTTAACATCATGCTAAACGGCGGATCATACGGTGTGTCGTGTTTGTCCCACAGCGGGCGAGTCCCGGACGAACAGCGGGTGTGTGCCAGACCGATTACGATACAGATTCACTCCCCTCCAACCTCCTAAATCCACGCGACTCAACTGACCTTCGACAGGACAGCCAAGAGTGCGAAAAATGCAAGCGGGTGCCCCACACAGCCCAGCTTTGGGGCTGTAAATAGCAAAAAGAAAAAAAAGAAAGAAAAAAAAAAAAAAACGAGCAGAACGTTGTTTCAGGAGGAGAGAGAGAACACTCCAAGAACCAAACAAGGATGTATCATATCAGAGCGTGGAAACATGAGCATCCTGGGGGTTGGATGCTAAGCATTTCAGCTGCTGCAGAGAGGCAGGCATGATAAAGACGAGCCGGAGGACGAAAGCGAGAGGGCAGGGTCACCGTCAGCCGACGGAGGAGAGGCCGGAAAGCGGGGCTGAGAGCTGTCACAGCAGATTACAGCTATTTCACCTAGTGCTGCATTTCACCAGCAAAACCCCCAGAAATAGAATCTGACTGAAACGTCCATCCCTGCACACAGGAATATCCCCAGAGCTACAGCAGCACCTGCGATTCACTGGGTTAATGTGAAGAGCCACAGCGAAAGCAGCAGAAACCAAAGCACAAAGCAAACTGTGCAAAGCATCTATAGCCCACGCGCTAAAAAAAATAAAGAGATAAAATCAAGGTTCTGTGGGGGACAGAACATCAATTTAATCAAGTAGATATGACATGCAGTAGACACGTCTGACAAGTAATTAAGGCAAATTTAATTGCACGCACGGCAAGCAGGTTGAGGACATTTAAAGTAATTAACGGCACTGACGGTTCCACTAACAATAGGGGGAGCATCTCATACATCCATTTTGGTGAAAATAATATTTTTTTCTTTTTTTTTGGGGGGGGGGGGCTACTTTCAACACAGCTTATAAAGGTAACAGATGCCATTTCTCATTCCCGCCCCCCCCCCCATTAGCAACACCCATTTTGTGAAGGCGACAAGGGGCTTCAATCAGCGCAGACAGACGGTGGGGTCCATCCCGCGAGAATGCCCATTCGATAGCCGTCCACCTGCGTCCCCACGCGTAATCCAGCCGAGAACAAAAGCCCCCTCCTCAGGGAGGTGGGGGGGGGACCCCGACGCAACCCAGCAGAGCCTGCACCCAGAGCCCACCGCCGCCCCGCGGGGAGCCCAGCGTGGCGAGGAGAGACCCCCCTACCACGCCGGTGGAGCGCCGTGCTGCCCCACAGAGCTTGCCTGTTATTCTCCTCCAAAGCACAATGACCCCCTTCCCCCCCCCCCACCGCAAGCCTCCGCTCAGACAACACATCCACCCCACACCATGCCCTCGCGCTTCTCTCAGCCCAACCCCCGGAACAAAAGGCACGGCAGACAGCTGTGCCCCATTCCCCTCCACCATTACTAAACAGACAGCATGTGTATTGTAGGTGTAGAAGAAGGAACCATTTTAGCAGTCTGGTAAAAAAAAAAAAAAAAAAAAAAGGAGAACATACCCCATCTCGATGCCTGCCTCCATCCCACCTCCCTCTCACTGTGTCAGCGCTCCAGCCCAGCGCACCCAGCCATTCCAGTCACGTGGGCTCGCTCTCCACCAATCGGGCGGCCGGGCAACAGTGCCGCACTGCTCGACGGCCAATGAGGGCTGGCCTGCTTCCAGCAGCACACACAGCTGCTTCATCCTCCTGTCAGTCCGGCCCCCTGTGTGGGTGGGCGGGGCCACGTGCTCAGACAGGTCGCTGGCATGGGGCCAGACTATTCAAACAGCTCTGAGGTCACACCAGCTGTCGCAGAGGTCCAGTGAGAAGAGGCCCGCAACCCAAGCCTGTCAATAAAATCCCCCCCCCCCAAACCATGATGATCATTTCATCCATATAGCATTTCAAATGACCGCAAAGGGACAGCCGCTTCGAGACGCAGTATCCCCGCGCAGGCCCCGTCCCTTCAAAATCTGGTCACACTGACTCGCAGATTCGGTTCCTAAAAAGCCAGCTTTCAGCCATACAAACAGCCAGCAGGCAAAGAGAAGATAGAACTGCTGGACCAGAACAGAGCTTCATGCTAAAGCCCGATAGGGGAACGGCCATTAGACTGAGTTGAGAATTACCAGTGTCCGTAGGGGGTCAAAAACAGCAGACTGCAGGTGAATTACCCACAGCCCAGTACAGACCCACAACACTGTTACCAATCACTCCTCCGAGGGTACAGGAGAGAACAAGGATGGGAGAGATACCAGCCAGGGCTTATTCTTCTATTTCTTTTCACATCCTAGATGGGACAGATGCTGGTACATGCTGACCCCATCACTGCCCCAAGGAAAGACATTACTGCAGTATGCAGGAAGGAATCCAAGCGCCCAGGAACCAGGGAACTACTCAGAGCAGCAGCAGGTGGCCCAGCGCAGTGCTACTCAAACCATGGGTTGCCAAATAATTTGGCCGGGGAGGAGCGCAAATCATCTTCTGAATATGATGAATAAAAAAGGTTTGAATCCCCCTCCAATTAGGTCAGTGTATCGAACAAGGGGTTTTAGGGGTGGGAACCACTACCTTAGCTGGTAATAACACTGTGCCTGGGATGGGAAAGTGGCCAGTTTAAACCCCCGGGTTGCCAGTGTGATGTCACCGTCGGGCCCTTTAGCAAGGCCCTTAACCCTTAATTGCTCCAGTCTGACTCTGCCTTCTCAAAAAAATAAACCTTGCTTTGGATAAGCACATCCGTTAAATAAAAAACGTAAATATTAATGTAACTAACTTTACTAAACTGAAAAGGGATAAAACTTCTGAAATGTACACTGGCAGAGAGGAGGGCAGCTTTCTTTCAGGAGCTGAACGCGCTCAGACGGTCCTAAGCAGGAGAACACTGGGAAAGGGCTCAGATAAGGCTGCCTTCCAAAATGCTAAACTTCTATATACGACTCAAAACAACTGGACACCAGTTAGATACTGGGTATATTAGCATTACAAGAAAGGGGGGAAAAATATGCTGATTCCTCAGCTGTTCCTAAGTGATAAATATAGGGCATGTTACACTATCCCAGGCATCAAAGGAACTAACCATACAAAAGGCAGCCTACAAGATTTAACTCTAAAGGCTCCTTACAATAAATTCTAAAAACATTAGCCTGTGTGCTGTTTTTTCCCCAAACAAGTCTGCCTGTCTGGTAACACGGCGAAAACAGGGCCGTATCCGATCTTTAGCCTATATGGGCCACACCTACGGAAATTATCTCCCTATCCTGTGCTAGACAAAACAAAAACACTGCAGCAGGGCAGACTGGTCTCCAGCCAAGTGCAGCCCGAACAAAGGTGGGATCTGCTTGCAGCATTAATGCATGGGGGGTGGTGGGGGGGGCAAAGTCAGACATCCTGCCAGCATCCACTTCAGCATCCTCTAATGCTGTGGGAAAAAGCCCTGGGTGTGACCCACGGGGGGGGGGGGGGGGGGAAGCTCACCTTACAAAGTGTCCCAGCAATTTAGACTTACACAATTATTCCAATCCACCTTTATATTCCAATGTTCCTTATCACACTATTTTGAATTAGTCAGCATAACAATAAAAAAAAGAGAATCAATTCTTAATTCACTGGTTAATCTGAACACAAAAAAATCTGATATTAAATTCAATTCAATTTATTTTTATATAGCACCTTTCCCAATACAGTTGCCTCAAGGCACCTGATGAGAATGTTGGGCAAATTAAATGCATTAAGAAACACGCTGAAGGAACAGGCATGTCCTATGGGAACAACACAATCAGAATCATTACACACACCCCACCCCAGCCCCCGTCTTCGGCTGGCCCTGCAGATAGATGCTCTACAGTTACCAACATCTTGCCTGCCTTTACAACACAGCCAAGCAACCAGACAGTCAGCTCCTAAAGATAAGTTGCCATGGTGATGGGGGATGCTTGAATGTATGCGGTAGATGTGAAAATGTCCTCTCCATTCAGCCTAGTAGCCTACCTCTGATGCCTGAGATTATGTCATGTATCTACGCCTCATTGTGCATTTATATTAGATATGCAGGGTTTAGAAGGAAAAAAAGGATATATTAAAATCAGATTTTCAGGCACGTATGAGAGGAGAGAAAAATAGGGGTATGTGTACCACTGTCTTGAGCCCTGTGCTGTTTGGAATAGGCTCAGGCTCCAAGAGGATCCTCTCAAGGATAACCAATTAGAAGATCAATAGATGGATGGTTAGATAGAAGGAAGGTGAATGATTGACACACTGCGTTGGGGAAGGGTAATGTGCATATGTGGACGAGTTAATTCACAAATTGTATAATTTCAACATGTTTGGGGAATAAAGCAGCTAAGCTGTCAGTGTTTAGTCTGTGGGTCATCTGCTCTCAGATCACTACCTTTCCGCAAGCTGGTCGGTCACATGACCTTCAAAAAACTGTTTACTTCTGGGCTCCGGCTGACCGACGCTTAAAACGGGAGTATCAGCGCCAGCAAGGACAAAAGTCATCATTGATTGGAAATAAAGTTTTTTTTTTTTAACGCTGTTTAAAAATACTACTGACTGATGGTTAACTCCGGAGCTCGGGCAGCGGTAATGACATTAATTATCTCCTCCCGATACGATCCTGCCAAAGCCGTCGGATCTCACTCGCGGCACTTTAATCTGTAATTCTTCCTATTCTCCATGAGAAATCAGCTTTACGGGAAATTGTCTCCAGCAACCGGATCAATCGGGCCAACAAGTTTAGTTAGTTAGTTAGTCTGGAGTTACAGCCACCCGAGGCTCGCACTTTGCTGTGTTTTAAAACTTCTGGGATATTGGGAGTTATTCAACCAAAAACTAAAAGAAAGAAAAAACTAACAAATATTACTGATTGCCAGTGAAAAGCTAACCAGCCAAAAAACAAACAAAAACATAAAGAGATAACCCGTGCATGCAGCTGGTTAGTTGATTATGTATACTATTTGGTTTGGTTAGTCACGCATATTTTAAGGATGAACCCTCGTCCCCTGCAGCGTCCGTTTCCTCACCTCTCTGCTCGTCAGTATCTCGACCACCAGCTAATGTCAAGGAGCCGACCCGGCCCAGCTGCTACCTTCTCCATACCGCCGTCCTGTTAAAACAGCGTAACTCCTCCCTCAGGGCGACGCCATGCTGTACGGCAGACTCCTATGTTTGCGCATGCGCATTAGTTCGCCGAGTTGGGCCGGCTGGGCGTTCAGGACGGGCAGCCCTTCAGAGGGGCATCTCTACAGCCCACTGGCAAACTATAATGCGTGGGATTGTGTACAGTGCCACTAACATCAGCAACTCCAGCTAAAAGTAACCTACGGTTTTTCTTGCTCAGATTAATTTCATCATAAATGTGTGTTTAGATAACGGTAAAGAGTGGTTTCTTTGTATAGTTTAGTCCAGCAACATTTTCCAGATCATCTGTAAAAATCATGTCTAGATGTCGCTAATAAATATATATTGTATATTTTAAGTGGAAAAAGTGTTAGTATTCAAAATATGAGCATTATTTCAATTAAAGCCTTGTATATCATACTTCCTGAAAATGTGACAGAAGACATAGTAAAATGGCACCAGAATATATTTTACTGAGTTTGCAATGTGAGATTGCTGTAGTCCCAGTCCCAGTATAATATTCAGAATAAACAGATCAAGAAATGTGTGAGGGAAATACAACCTACATATGCCACACCTGAAAACAAGAGTGCATGTGATTATAATAATGCACAGTGGCTGTTATTGATTAGACTACACCAACTGATTTGAACAGTAAGACTGCACTTTGGTTAAAGTGGTACAGGACAGGACACACAAGAAACAGAATTTGCATGAATTGTAAGTCAGACTTACATAAATCCCAAATTTAGTTTAATCACATACACTGCTTTAGTTGCAAGTGATCAAATTATATCATAGTCTTATTTTCCATTTAGTGATGTTGGTAGCTACCACAATTATTTTTGACTTTCTATAAGAGCATTGTAATGCAATCACAGTATCAGAGATGATAAACATCATAGTGTAAAGGGCAGCTTTGCCCAAAATAGGGCTACGAGGGCAAAACAACCGAAGTATAAGGTAAGTGTTACTTGAGTTTCACCTGTGTCATTTTAAGTTAACCTTTTATGTGGAAAAACCGTTATTACTCTTCTCATGAGGAGGGTGTCCAACTTCCAAATTATTCGGCATAATTACTTTAGAAAATCTTTCATTTTATGAATGTGCCTTAATTTTAAGACTGTGTCTATAGTACCTGTGAAATATCCACAAGCTCAGTGTTCGTAAAATTAGATTGAAAAATAATGAAATGCTATTAACGAATGTTATGTATGTTCCTTTTTGTACACTGTAGCGTAATTGTTTTTATTAGAACTCTTATTTTGATAATACTTCTCCAGGTAGCCAGCGGAAGCATGTTGTTAACAATCATGTGACAATTTCCGCTTCGCTCCGCCAATAATGCAGATACAACGGCGATGGTGGCATGGTTGAGTACAGCTAGTTAATTGCTAATGCTAGAGTTCAGATTAATATAATAGATTATCGGAAGTAGTTTTTCCATAACGTCTGGGACTTGTCTTTGTCTTTCAAAATAATGGCACATTTGACTCAAAACCCAGCCGACAAAGAAAGGTGTGTGACATATGCTTACTAGTTGTGAAGGACTGTGTTGCTTAATACTTTCTTTTAATATATTAGTGCAAACAGCGGGGTTGTAGTTTCTATCCGACTGGAGCTGTCTGATATCTTTGCATATTTCGGTTTTTAAACCGTGTGCCGGGAGGTGTAGTCTGGTAATCTGCGGACAAAACCCTGAACTCTCAGTATGTTTTGTATGACGTGTAGTTTCTATGTGGGACGCCGGTGCACAGTCGTTTCATTTGAAGGGGGTGATTTGTTTGTTTATAACATACGCTCACAGAAATAATACTTCTAAAATGCTGTTCCTGCGTGATTTTATTTTTAAAAACATTTTCCACGATAAATACAAAATGTGGCGATTGAAATACACATATATATGTGACTTTAAGAATGCGGTTTTGCGCAATTTGATGACGTATGAGGTGCGTCTATTGGTCTGAGAGATTATCTTACCGTTCATTTGAATTCTTCTAGTTTTAATATCTGTCCATGTATAACACTGCAGTGTATTTACAAAGGTCCAGCCTTTTTGAAAATGCTTTGGGAAAACCGTCCATTAGTTACAACGTTTGATACTCTTTCGTCTCGATGGTCGATCTTTGGATTGCCTGTAGTAATGGCCGTTAACAGTGTGCTGTTAATTTCTAGCGTTTGATGCATAACTTGTGCTTTGCTTGCAGTACATTCACCTGTATTACAATTTCAGTGTTATATCTCTCAATCTTTAGAATAGGCACCAAATCTTATTTTGAGCGGATTCTTACTTTTACACTGCAGTCATGTTGGCAAAATATATATAAAAACATTAAAGTTGTGATTGTTAAACCTTGTAATGGGCCAGCCTCCGAGTAATTACATTATGCAGTCGAGCTCTGGGCATATTTAAGTTCTGCTTTTCAATACTGACAGGCTGTATTCTCATTCACTTTTAATGCGAAGTGCTTCAACACAACTGATGCTTTTGCTCTTTAATTAGATCCTCATCTGCTATGCATCTTCTTCCTTCCTTGAAATTACCGAATAAATTTTTTTTATTGATTGCACAATTGAGTCATTGTGACAGCTCTAGTTATGACTAGTTGTCTAACTTTCCCATTGATTGGTATAAAGTTTGATCCCCCCCCCCCTTCCATAACACGTTTATGGCAACATGTGCCATTGACATTGCTGTTATGTGAAAGACTTGTGTCCCCCAATAAATATGCTTTCATTTACTTTATTTTTCAGGTTCATATGCATTTATCCTGCATTTATTAACAGTAAGAAGACGATAGCTGAAGGACGTCGAATACCAACTGAAAAGGTGAAAGATGGTTGCATGTGTGTGTGTTTATCCTTTATCCCCATTTCAACATATTACACACACATTGCAGACATGAATTTTATTCTGCAGTATTTTTTGCTGGGGAAAATGCACACTTTGGCTCAGTTGGCCACACTAAGTTGCAGCACAATGGCTCAATGCCTTTGTGTGCTTTGTATTGGAGTGACGTCCTGTCCAGGGTGTCCTCTGCCTTGTGCCATGCTTTCTGGGATCAACTTAATGTTTACTGCAGCCTTGTCCTGGACAGGTGATTATGGAAAATCAACGGCACCGATGCTTTAATAAAAGCGTGATCGTACTCGCTGTAATTATGAGGTGTGTTCAGTCAGAGTGGTGTAATCTGCTTGACTGCTGAGGGGTCTGTTATGATGCTTAAGGGTTTTAAAGGTGCTCATTGTGAACAGCTTCCTGAAACATCCTATCTTTTGTTTCCCAGGCAGTGGAAAATCCCACGTGCTGTGAAATCCGAGACGTTTTGAGCGCTGCTGGAATGAATGCTTTCGTTGAGGTTTGCTCTTGCGTTTTGACCTTCTGCTGCATGGTTTCCCAAAGCGGCTTTTAAGGTGGGGGGGGGTTTAAAGCTCTTATTGCTGCTCTGTGCAGGGTAAGATGTACCCTCGAGAGTGGAACAGGGACACGCAGATCAGAGGACGAGTGCGAGTCCAGATCAAGAAAGAAGATGGAACCCCCTTTGATGAAAAGTTGTCATCCCGTAAGTCTCTCTGCTTTAGTTTAACCTGTATTAAGAACCACATACATATATGAAGGTCAGATACATTGTAATATTCAGATTTCATTTATGCCAGATCTCAAGTTTTTGCTGGTGTTACATTTATACCACATTTAAATTTGCCAAGCTATGCTTCATGCAGTTTTAAATAGCTGAATGGTTTATTGGAGCAGCTTAGGTTTAACTTTGCATTGAAGGGGATGTGGTGAGACACAGTATATGGAGAAAAGTATTGGGACACCTGGCCATTACACCTACAGGAACTTTTATGACACCCCGTTCTAAATCCATAGGCATCAGTATGGAGTTGGTCTCCACTTTATAGCTATAACAGCTGCCACTCTTCTGGGAAGGCTTTCCACAACATTTTGGAGTGCGTCTGTGGGAATTTTTGCCCATTCATCCAGAAGAGCATTTCTGATGTAGGCCCTGATGTTGGACATGAAAACCTGGCTCTCAGTCTCAATTCTAGTTCATCTCAAAGGTATTCGGTGGGGTTGAGGTCAGGGCTGTGTGTAGGCCAGTCAATTTCTTTCAGAACAAACTCACACCCATGTCTATATGGACCTTGCTTTATGCACTGGGGCACAGTCATGCTGGAATAGAAAACAGCCTTCCTTAAACTGTTCTCAGAAGCATTGTCCAAAATATCTTGGTATGCTGAAGCATTAAATTATGAGTTCCCTTCATTGGAACTAAGGGCCCCAGCCCTACCCCTGAAAAACAGCCCCATACCATTATCCCTCCTCCACCAAACTTTAGAGTTGGCACAATGCAGTCAGGCAGGTAACGTTTTGGCTGGCATCCACCAAACCCAGACTCGTTCATTGACCTGCCAGACAGAGAAGCATGATTCGTCACTCCACAGAACACGTTTCCGCTGCTCCAGAGTCCAGTGGCAGTGTGCTTTACACCACTCCATCTGACACTTTGCATTGCGCTTGGCGATGTGAGGCTTGTATGCAGCTGCTCGGCCATGGAAGCCCATTCCATGAAGCTCCCGGCGCGCAGTTTTTATGCTGGGGTTCATGCCAGAGGAAGTTTGGAACTCTGCAGTTATTGAGTCGTCAGACCGTTGGCGACTTTTACGCAATTTGCGCCTCAGCACTTGGTCACCCCGCTCTGTTACTTCACATATTCTGGCACTTCATGGCTGAGTTTCTGTTATTCCTAAACGCTTCCACTTTGCAATAATACCACTTACAGTTGAACGTGGAACATCTAGCAGGGAAGAAAATTCACAAGCTGACATATTGCAAAGGTGGCATTTTTTCACAGTACCATGCTTGAATTCACTGAGTTCTTCAGAACAACCCATTCTTTCACAAATGTTTGTATAAGCTAGGTGCTTAATTTTTAGTTGGTCTGAAGGAAATGTCTGAATGAAATGGTTAAGAGGTGCGCCCCAATACTTTTGCACATATAGCATATCTTCAAGCCCATGTTCTTCTAAGCCCACTATAGAATCTGAGCTTTAGGCGAACGGGGCAAATCTTTTGAACTGTCAATGAACTGTCCTCAATCTGTCATGTGACACAGGGAAGTGCGTCATGCTTTACGTGGCAGAGAAGATCCCCAAGCTGAAGACACGGACGCAGAAGAGTGGGGGCGGCGACCAGAACACACAGCAAGGGGAGGGGGGCAAGAAGAGTAAGAAGAAGAAGAAGTAGTTCTGTGCCCCCCCCGGCCCCCCAATTGTGAGCAGTGTTTGTTGTATCTCTGGCAGATAACGGTTTAAGCACCACCTCTGCTGGGCGTCAGGAGTAACAAGGAGGCAGTGCAGCCGTTTAATATGGCTGTCTAAAGGAAGGAGGTATTGAAAATGAGAGCTACTCTGTCAGTGCCACATAATTATGGCTGTTGCCCTTTTTTTCAGCGCGGTTTTGTTTTTTGAATTCAGCAGATGGATTGTTTTGTGTTGACAAAATCTTTTGAGTAGATGTGTAGTGGAAAATAAAGACTGCCTTCAATGGCTTATATGCTCCCAGTACATTTAGGGTCTGTCTGGTACTATGATGTGTATGGTCACCGAGTACAGGCAGTCCCTGGGTTAAGAAGGTCCGACTTGCAGACTACTCGAACGGACTGCGGAAAAGCCTGTTATATTAATAATTTGAGTTAAATGCAATGGTGGGTCGTAACACATACACTACTTTCTGATGCTGTTGAAAAATCACTGAAGCCATGCAATATTATCAGCTCAAGGTAAAGTGCAATGCAGGACAGTAAATATACAAAGAAACATTTTACTGATGCTAAATAAGAGCTGCATGTACCTGTTTTGACTTGCCTACAAACGTGTGACTTGGAGAGGCTTAGAGAATGGCTCTTTTTATCCATCTTTCCACCTGATGGCGCCAAAAAGCAAATTATAGCTTCCCCTCTATGTAATACGGCTGGTCTTTTCAAAATAGTGATGGATATACCCGGTTGCTGTGGTGTGGCGGCTCAGTGAGTAACATTGCAGCTGCACGCTTCCAGGTCTGGGGTCTCATTCCTTGTCCTGCTCAGGATACTCTGGGTTCTTTCCCTGGTCCTAAAACACAAGTTCAGACAAATTAGCATCTCTAAATTTCCTGCTGTTTGTATGCCCTGCAATGCACTGACATTCCACCTAGTGTCTTGTGCTCTGTGCTTCCTGGGATTGGCAAAGAGTCCTTAAAGATGGATGAGTGTTCACAATTTTCAGTAACACTTCACTTAACAGGGCACAAATACTTAGTGACTTAGTTACTAATGAAGTACAAATTAACAAGTGTAGTCGCTACTTGAGATAAGACGTGTCACGATTCACTAATGATGAGAAAACGTGAGATCCGTATATCACTTGTGTTATTCATTACTTGTTCCTTCAGTAGTTCAAAGGTTTACGGAATTGACAGACATAGTGAGAAATATAGCAACTGCCTGAGAAAAAAGATCTGTCACAATTCATTAATGATGAACATGATAGCTGTATGTAACTAAGACTTAGTTCGTGGATAATTAGTACATAAGTAATAGTATATTACCATATTATTTATACCCCATCAAGTAAAGTATTACCCGGTTTTCTTTTATGAAATAACATCAAGTTGATGGGGGGAGCAATTATCCATCATAGGTCAGTTTAAGCTAACTAAACCTGCTGGTTATTTTGTTTCTGCTAATGAAGTGTGATGTCATCATGGCTAACACAAGCTTAACCCCACTGTTCTGTCTAAATCCCCCCATTTCAGCCATTGCCTGTTTGACTCAATTTCTGGACTCAATTGACTCGATCGTTTCTATCAGAATCAAAATATCTTTTATTTGCTGGTGCCAGAATTTACTTTGGCACATAAAGAACCTGCTCAGCACAATAGCCGACGTTACAGACATTACCCATGATCAGAAGGTTGTCGGTTCAGATCCCTTCACCACTGGGTCCTTGAGCAAGGCCCTTAACCCTAATTGCTCAAGACCCTGATCAGCACTTGTACATCACTTTGGATAAAATTGTTTGCCAAATAAACAAGTGTGCATTCAAAATACAATACCAGTCAAAGGTTTTTGCACACATTGAGATTTTCTACATTTGCCTGTTACTGATTTAACATTCACTAAAAATACACTCAAAAAAGTAACCTCCTGTTGCAGCTATAACAGCTGAGAAAATTCGAGGCATTTTTCCTACAAGGGACATTAAATGCTGCTCTGTTTCATGGGATGAAACAGCTCACTAGTGAATTTAAAGTTAGAGGGCAGCCTAGAATTTGACTATGCCATCACCACACAACCAGGTAATAGGATGTCAGACATGCAATGTTACATACTCTTTCCATCTTATAAAGGAAACTTGTTTGATTTGATTTATGTTCATTTATAGTTGTTCACTCAACTTTCCAATGCTTAACAAGAATAAAGAAATCTGCCGTTTATGAAATAAATGGAAAAGTGGTAAAAACCTGTGGTGTGCAAAAACTTTTGACTGGTAGTGTAAGTATTAAGAAATGGAGTGTCACCATAATACAACAATATATTAGACAAAGTTGGGGGAAACACAATTTGTGGTCACAAAAGTACTGTATGAATGAGACAGGAATGTTCAAATTTCACAGTAGCGCATATACACAAGCAATAGATATAGTGTGTACAAAATGCAGGCGTTTCAACTATGCAGTAATAACAGCACACAGTTTTTCAGCCAAGATGTGTAATTGTTGGGGCAGGGTGCTGTTTCACCAAGGATATGACTTATGTTTGTTGTTTTTGGGAGGAATCTGCATCAACATCAGTGGCCTTGTTCACTGCTCTAGATCTAAAAAGCATAGCTAGGGGATGAAAGGTGACAGCCAATCAAAGCAGTTGCTTGCTCTCCCATACAGCTGCTCTGTGGTTCCTCACACCCAGATGCGTATTAACACTTCTTCTCAGGACATGGCTGTGGACAGCCCGAAATAGTATTCAAACAGCAGGTGGTCAAAGTGACAGACTTGTAGTAAAATCCATTGAGGAGGAAACTAAATCCAAATTCTCATTGTTTGAATGGATAGAATATAAAATAGGTAATTTTGGGTGATATCCAGCCTGCCTGTCTGCCGCCCCTGTGTTCTGCGAAAGCAGAGATGTCTCTGCAGCAGATTGGCTCAGTCACCTGACTGCTGAGTCTCAGTTCATCAATATAGTAAGTCTGCATTAGCGTTCTGTCGGGAAAACTCCCAGCAAAGAAAAAATAAATAATCAGCATTAACACTCCTTCAGGGGAACAGTGTTTTGCGCTTTTGACACCTTTCAACTCGGCTGCCAACAACTATAATTTCAAATGTATCACCCTAACGTGTCATTAATGTGACTAGAGACTGACAGTGCTGTGACATTACTCTCATATGTCAGTTTGTGTGTGCATGTGTGTGTGCGTGTGTCCGTGTCCTTCGAACCACCTGTCAGTTGATACAGAAATGTTGAATGTCACATGGCATAGCGCAGTTGAGGTGATCCTCACTGGGGAAAGGAAGGTGAGGAACTTCAGTTCTGTAAACAAGATCATGCCTCATCCAATGTGATGGACAGTTAGCTTTTTCTGTAATAGATGACCATAACAGCAGTGTTTGAAGATCAGAGGATGATGCTCTATTGATGTGCAGTTTATAGTCAGGAAGTGATTGTAGGGTGAGGTAAGGAGTCTTTTAATGGAAAAACATTGTCCTCACCCTGTGAACCTGAGAACTTTTGTTAGAATTTACATGAATCTGCTAACAAGTAAGAACTATATAGTTTGACTTTATCTATCTGATTGTTTTCCACAATATTTTGCATACAATATGTGTGTGAATAGTGTGTGTGTCCTGTGATGGGTTGGCACCCCACCCTGAGGTACTGCCTGCCTTGTACCCATAGGTTCTGGAATATGCCCCGGACCCCTGTGACCCTGGTTGGATGGATGGATGGATAAATTGTATTGTCTTAGTAATACAGTGTAAAGCCTTCATATGTTTATTTATGTAGTTAAAGTCTGTTTCCAATGGCTGAAACGGCAGCTTTTTATTGAAAAGAGAAACGGGAGCAAACAGACAGAAGCATGAGGAGGGACCTTCAGCGACAGGCAGACTGGGCCGGGGCAAAGAGATCGACCGGCTAGGCACTGGCTGTCATCTCTGCTGGCCTGGGCTTCTTTGCTCTCTCTTCGTGGACTTTCTTCAGGTGTTTTGTTTGTCTTTCCAGCCTTGTGGTCCAATCCATCCTTAGCCTGGACAACCCAGACACAGAAGGACTGAGGGACATCTTCATTAGATCATTTGATAATATATTATTAAATAAAAATGATTCACTTACAATCAAATTTGGAAATGTATTACAAAGATAACATACTCCTGGCTCACAAAGTATTTCTAAAGAGCTGCTGTGTTATAACTCACTCCTCAGTGTGCTTTCTAACCAATTGTTTTATATTTGCAAGTGATATACAAGCTGCATTGTAAATACCAGGGACAAGATATGACAGTAATACATTTCAAAATTTGTTTGTGAGTGAGTCTTTCTATTTATTAATTATTAACACATTTTAGTACCAGTTTATTAATAGTCAAGGGGCATTCCTTAAACTAAAGTTTTACCTAGATTTGATTAATTTACAGATACAAGATTAAGTATAAAGATTTATATAGGACCACAATATAGTGACAGTCACTAATCTCTAGTGTTGAAAATTTGACCCTTTGGTGCCTGTGAGTCTTTGTGTAGCTTGGGCAGTTGCGTGTGCGTGTTCTGTGCGTGTTCTGTGCGTGTTCTGAGAATCACTCAGTCTCAGAGGAGGACTTTCCACAGAGGGGGATTGTTGGGGCTGAGCTGGATGCCTGTGTGTCTCCCAGTAGCACCAGGCCTCGTATACCTCCCCTGACTCTGACATGAGAGAAGGGCGGCACGCGGCCGATAAGCACAGAGCTATGACACAGCTGAACTCCTCATTATCACATTACATTCTCCGTCACACGTGCTTCACTTCTACCTCACCAGACATCAAAAAGACATTTCTCTGATGTCTGCTCATTTTTGTTCCTTGCCAGTTTTTTTTCTTTGAGATTTTTGTGGTTCCTAGTCATCCCAAAACTTCAGGTTACCATTTGGAAACAGGCACAGATAAGGCCGCTGATTATTATATGCAGATCATCCTAATATTAAATTAGACGCCAGACACTTTTGTCATGCTGAAAGAATACGGTCAGCTGTTGGTCAGGTCAAGTTAGATGAACTGAGCCCCGATTTAATCCATGCATAACACCACGCTCACATTCCTCTAAAGGAAATGTGGAAAACATTGCTGACCGTCTGGAAATGTGGATGTACAACATCAGCAAACAACAAACCATCTAAAGAACCATCAAATACGCACATCTAAGTAAGAAGGAAAGTCATTGTAGTTCTTTAGAAGTGACTATCACTGTACATAAGAAGAAGAGGATGAAATAATATAATGTTAATATTGAAATCCTTTTGCTGCTGCATGTGAGACTCTGCTGTTGACAGAGGCTGCTTGTGTTTTAAGGAGAGTTGAGTGTGAGTATGTTAATACTCAACAGTTTTCAGACCCCTGTCACACACTCAGAAGAGAGTAGCACACTCAGAAGAGAGTGCCCTTCACACGATTGCCCTGCAGTCCCATAGAAACCCAGCTGACAGTAGGTGTCACTGTAGAGCAATGGTAGAGAAATGAACCCAACCATCTCACCCACCCAGCTGAACTGAGGCGTACCAAGTTCTGTATACCTTCTTAGCACAGAAGGCTAAATCTGCGTTACAAAGGTCAGTCCTGGGTGCAGGATTCACCTTCCTTTGTCTGTCCTTATGCAATTGTTTGTTTAAACTTTCATCACATTTGTACGATTGTAATTCAACACTAACCATAATAGAACTTAGGCAAGCTTGACCTTAATCATAATGATACCTCTTTATGTTCCTTGAATGTTTTTATGTTGCACCTCTGGTCCTTGAATAGTCTTGTTACGTTCTTACTTTGTTAGAAGTTCTGTAGCCTCTGCCCTAGACGTTCTTACAATGTACCTGAACATTCACTGGCAGCTCAGCCTGGCTGCAGTTATGCTCAGTCGACTTGCTGACAGTCGTATGTTTGTAATGTGCTATTTGTCTCACTTGTACATCGCTTGGGATTACAGGGTCTATTAAATGGTTAAAATGTAAATGTAAATTGGTGTAGAATTATCATAACAATATGTATGTTCCAGATGTTGAGTGTGTGCACTGCTTGTGCAGGTGATGAAGAAGCGATTAACCTAGAAAGTGCACTCCTGTTCATCCTCTCGTCCTCATGCTCCGTCATCTGGGTGTGATTCTCAATTTTCTGCTCCCAGAAATTCATTATGGACAATTTGTCGTGGATCTTTGCAGTGTTCATTTTCTAAAATACAAAAAACAGTACCACAAATATATCAAAATCCTGTGATCACTGTCTGACTGCGAGCTCACACATATAATGTTTTTTTATGCAGGTACGTTGTTTCAGCTCATATATTTATAGCGATACTATGTCCTCATAGTTCTGACATGAAGCATTTATGGTATGTGACCTTGCAGGATGTATAAAGCATATAAACACAACAGGTTCCTTGTTTAAATGTGCAAACTGTTCATCACCCAGTTCCTCCAGTGAATCTGGTGTGATACCGGGCACTGGCCATCATCTGCAGCTGAAATCAAGCACCAAGTGTGGGAAACTTACCGCAGTGAGCCTGTTGGTGGAGAAGTTCAGGCCGGAATGACGAGGCTGGCGGGATTCATCTGTGGAAGACTCTCCTCGCTGCCCTTGGCTGCCATTTATTTACAAACCTGTGACAACTCATCTCCACCCTCTTTTCCTTTTCAGAGGATGGTTTGGAGGCCAGACAGGAATACTGGGGTGCCTGCCAATGTGTGAAAAGTCCAGTGACAGTGAGAGAATTAAGGAAACTGATGTTTGGGTTGATTGCTGGAGTTTCTTCTGCATTCTAACCCACACTCCACACATGTACACATTTAGCCCCCGAGACACATACAACTCCCCACATTTGACTTTTTCTCACAATAAAAGAAGCTGTTCCAGATCATCTGGAGTCAAACAATCCCGTCCCTTAATGCTCCTGAACACGAGTCCTAGAACAGCAGGCATGGATCGCATTACTTAAATAAACACACTAATGTGTGTATCAGGTTATCCTCTGCGCCCCGAAATCAAAGGACAACCTTGTCCCTGACATAAGGTCACCAGTTACTTGGTGGGGGGGGGAGGGTGTTGTCCTCACACCATTATGACCCATTAGGCGTTGTCCATGTGGGGGGGGGGGGTCTTGATGCTGCAGATTGGACCATGAAAAGATATGAGCACATTTACTTTGATATGTTCACAAATACACATGGTATCATGACACTTGCACTTGAACATAGCCCGATATTCCTGAGCACCATCGTTTAACAAAGACAGATGGAAACACAAGCTTGTGTTGAGGGGAGTTCATGACTTTGCCGAGAAGTTTATACATTTACATCAAATACAAACCTGGACATTGATTTGCTACTGTTATTAAATCCTTTGTCTCCTTTTGTGGGGAGGTGTTTAAGAGTAAAAATAGCATCATTTTGCTAATCTTTCTTAGCTGTTTAACTTCATTATGGCTCATGTTGAAAACAAATCATATCTCTTCTCTGTATGAACTGTAAACTCCAGAATGTCTTACTTCATTCACCACATTCTTTATTTTACCAAATGTTAACAGAACTACTGCATATAATCAGTCATAAGCCAGTGCTTCCTACTCCTGCCGAACAGAGAGCTATGCGATTAAAAATAACTTTTCCTCCTGTTGGTCACATGACTGTTTTCGGCGTGAACGATTCGTCTTTAAATTGCATGAATCACTCAGCAGCCTTCATATGCCTGCCATGGGCGTAAGACAGAGATGACTGACAAGAGGCTTGTACCGCTTCCAGAGCTCAGCACCTGTTATTTCCAAGGTGATATAATGCTAACAAATGCTATTTTAGTGGAGTGGCCGTAGTCTGCTGTCTGCCAGAGAGCACGTTTTCATTTTTGGCCATTGAATCATTGTATTGTTCTTTTTTAAGCTCAAACAATATGAAAATGAACTGAACTGTTAGAGTACAGACACTCCTCACTTAACTACTGAGTTCCGTTCCTAGACTAAGTCATTAATCAAATTGGTCGATAAGCAAGAAGCCGTCCCTTACCGATATTTCAAGCATACTGAACCAGTAGTGGGTTTATGTCAACCATCTTTTGATATTGTTTTAATGTCATCTTTTTTACCATTTATATGATTTTGTATATTTATAAATGATGCAAGATGAGATGCTTGATGCTGAAGGGCCTCGCTCCTCAAATAAGGCAGTTCTTCACCCCCCCCCTTTATACCCCAAAGACCCTCCCCAACAAGGTACTGTGTGTAGGTGTTGTGAGTACATTTGCATATAAAGAGTGACCCCCTGGCCTGTGAGGAGCCCGGGGCAGCGATGGGGCAGGACAGGATGGAGACTTTCTGATGATTGTAATTCAATTACTTCCTTATCACCCTAGTGGTGCCGACTGGAACCCCCATTCTCTCCCTGACTTCCCCCGTGATCATGAATTACTAACACTGTCTGTATTCAAATGATCAACCATAAGTCCAGGCAGTCAGTAAACATGAAGGTCGCTAAGTGAGGAGTATCTGCATATTTACAGGAAACAGCAGCCGTGATCACATGACCGAAGCATGCAGGTAAATTTCCAAGAAAGTTACTGCTATACTCCAAAATGCAGGCACCTGACCTGAACCTCTTAAGAAAACATGTTATGTGTATATTTGTGATCTGTTATGAGCATTAGGTCCTGACTGGCATCTAAATTGCTCTGTAAAGTGTAGAGAGAAGAAATTCCTTCCTCAAGCAATTAAGAGCTCATGTTGAGAAAGGCATCAACAGAAGGTCTAGCTTGGAAACCACAGTTTTTTTCAATAATTAATAATATTAATTATGGGGCATTGGTGCAATTCTGACTCTGGTTTGACCTATTTCTGCCAGTCTCTTTTGATGTTTAAAGTAAATTAATTCTAGTTCATGCAGCTGTCCATCAGTGTGGTGAAAATAAAAATTGTATAAATCATGTAGCACTATATTTCCAGTTACACGATGATTATTATTATCATCACAAGCAATGGAATGCACCTACAGTGAATCTGAAAGTCTCTGTGGATGGGCATTAAGCTAACTCATCCAGCAGGTGTTTTTAAGTAACACGACATTAAGAGAGCAGGGTCAGTCAGTCCCCAATGCAGAGATGGCAATTTCAGGTCCAGAAAGTAAAAATCCAGACCATGATTTACTTTCAACCAACCAGTTGAGCATGAAGTGTCACAGTCACAGAGTACTCAACTGGTTGGTTGAAAGTAAATCATGGTCTGGATTTTTACTTTCTGGACCTGAAATTTACACCTCTGCCCCAATGTAATGGGGGTTAAGGGCCTTATTCAAAGGCTCATGGTACCATCACTCTATCAGCCATGGGGCTTGAACTAGCAACCTTCTGATACGAGGAACAGAAGCATAGCACATACCACTCCTGAGGAGATCTGGGGGAATGAACAGGTGGTTCATAGCCTATTCAACAGAAGTCTCACATTACTGAAGACAATTTTAAATGACCCATTACATTTGTTTAATTCATTATGAAATGTGGCCCATTAGTCGATTTTTTGATTTCCTCTATGTTAGTCTTCATTTAAGTGGTCAGCATAGATTGGATTTTCTTGTAAATTTGCAGAATATAGACGTTTCTTTTTCAGCTCATAAAAACAGGTCAAAGTCTGCTGGATATTAAATCACTCTTATACATCTTCACTGGATTCTTTACAGGGAACTGTAACACACTGCAGGATGGCTAAGCATGGAGCATTAGTGAGTCCTTCAAAGCCGACTCTGGGGGCTCTGAAATAGCCTGGGAGTCATTTACAGATGACGGGTTTTTGGCTTTGCCTGTTTTGGAAAACCAATATGTGTAAAATGCATATTTCAGTCTCTGTGTATCTCCCCCACCTCCTCATCAAAGCGAGTCCAGCCCTATTTGAGGGAGAAGTGAATACGTACAGTGGGGGAGGGGGTGTTTCTGGGGCCCCATTGAAAATGTCACTCCCGTACACCCTCAGATGTTTCAGAAATGAACAAAATAGCAAGCAAGTAGTGTCAGAAAAGTACAGGTAGCGAGATGGTTAGCAGAATATGCTCCTTCACCATCTCCTAAAGAATAAGGAGTGTATTTAAATTGATATTTAATGTAGTGACTGTTTGTGGTCTACAGGGGGCCACACAAAGGTGAGATTTGACTGCTGATAAACAATGACGATGAGTATATTGTGTTGGGATGTTTAAGTTGCTGGTTGTACCGTCCAGCAGGATACTTCACTACGGTGAAAAAGTCTTGCAATTGATAACTATATGACGCAAGTATCTTGTTTAAAATTTTATTTTAATTTTATTTATTTACTATTTTGGATGGAGAAAGTGAAGTGAACACTAGATGGCACTCTTGCGCAGAACTTGACTCCTGTGAAGTGGTCTCCCAGTTTAGACGCGTATAACTGCCGTTTGTTTATTGGACACTGTGCTAAGAGGATTTGGCCCAGCAAGGGGAGTACTGTGTGACGCAAGATCTGATTGCATTCCTGATCAAAAGTTGCTTTAGCACCTTCAAGTCATAAAAGAAACAGCAAACGATAAAAAACTTAAGCTACCCGGAGGAGGATACATTTCTAGACTGGGAATGTCCCTTGAGCTGGGGGCCACATTGAAAGGTCTGTTTAGTAGCAGCATGAAAAAATATTATTTAAGCACAGCTCAAGACTGGCTAAGATTTTTAAGAACTGGCAACATCTTCATTTCATTTTGATTTTGATGAGATGTCTTCTGTTTTCTGTTTTCTCTACCTATCCCAGCCCTTACCACTGGTCTATTTTATAGTTGATATATTATAAACCTGCACTGTCCTGCTGTCTACTGTCCTTTTCTGCAATGCGTTTACTAAGACACTCTCAGAAGCTCACCTTTCATATTCTGGGGTGCATGAATTGGTTACTTGGTTTAATTCTTTATCCGAAAATGTCCTGGACTTTGTAGCTCCTCTTGCAAATTCAGTCTGAGGCGTAGTTTAATGATGGCACTTGTACCGGAAGGAAGGCTCTGCAGAAAGGCAGAGAGAAAATGGAAAAATGATAAATTGCAAATTTAAAAAGGGCCTCTTCCTTTATTCCTACATGACAAACACAGATAGCTGAACAAGGAGAAAGAGACATTTTAGTTGTTACCTGGCCAACAGTAGTCATGGGAATAATGAGGAGACAAATACGGCATGGTGGGGCTTGTACTGTCACCTGCCTTTAACCCGCCTCACCAGCTATGAAGCCAAACCTGAACTGTTGGCTAATAAATCATCGATACGCAAATCATTTTAATGATATGACCTTTAAAGCTACCATCATGAATAGCCCAAACAATCATACCGTACACAAATGCTTATGTGAAATATGCAGAGTTTGATCCTGACTTTATTATGGACTCGCTTATCCCATTGATGTTTTGTGAATGCAATTGTCTTGTTTTGTGCTGTCTAATCCTTTTGGATGCTATATGTTACTGACTGCCAATAAGAATTCCAATGTGGTGATGCATAAAAGGCAAATAAAGAATCTTGAATCCCATCAGTCATCCATATCAAGGTGAGCCTGGAGTCTACTGAGTGTCATTCCATTGCA